TTTAAACTATATATCCCTTGGAAAACCAAGACTGTTACAATAATCAATATTCAAAGTTTGATACTGCAAGAAATTGTAATTATGAATTGTGACATGAAGCAGACTTTCTGAAAAGACACACAGACAAACAAACTGATATATACACACCATGAGACTTGCTGACAGAATAAACAGACAGGCTTTTGCACCGATTTGCAAGCAAACCATCAGACAGTCTGATTGAAATACAGAGAGACTTTCAGTCAGACTTCTGATGGACTGATTGATATACAAAGTCTTTCAGACAGACTGACAGATATACAGTCAGACGTCTGGTGAACTGATTGATATACAGTCAGACTCCTGATGAACTGATTGATATACAGTCAGACCTCTGATGGACTGATTGAGATACAGTCAGACTTCTGATGGACTGATTTGTATACAGACATACTTTCAGACAGACTAATAGATATACAGTCAGACTTGTGATGGACTGATTGATATACAGTCAGACTCCTGGTGAACTGATTGATATACAGTCAGACTTCTGATGGACTGATTGATATACAGTCAGACTTCTGATGGACTGATTGATATACAGTCAGACCTCTGATGGATTGATTGATATACAGAAGAACTTCCGATGGACTGATTGATATACTGTCAGACTTCTGATGGACTGATTGATATACAGTCAGACTTCTGATGGACTGATTGATATACTGTCAGACTTCTGATGGACTGATTGATATACTGTCAGACTTCTGATGGACTGATTGATATACAGTCAGACTTCTGATGGACTGATTGATATACAGTCAGACTTCTGATGGACTGATTGATACACAGTCAGACTTCTGATGGACTGATTGATATACAGAAGGACTTCTGATGGACTGATTGATATACAGACATACTTTCAGACAGACTTCTGACGAACTGAAAGATATACTAGTCAGACTAAAAGGGGTACATGCTTTTTCACAGGTATACAAAGATTCTAATTAGTTTGCAACTGGCAGACAGACTAGCAAAGAGTATTGAATTAAACACTATCAATTCTGTTCATAAAAAATGTAATTTAATGTTATAATTGAACAAAAATATTGATTCTGAGTGTACTTGGGCTGATGCCATGCATTAAAATATCTAATTCAAAAAAGAACTCTGTTTGGCTACTTATTTCATTTCATCATCTTATTAGTATTTAGTTATTTGTCTGAATGCAAAAGCCTCATCCATGGTGACCTTATCAGAACAACTGAGAAATCTTATTCAGCTCTTGTGCAATCAGCATCCAATCAAACTGCTTCTATCATCTGCATGATCGGAACAGATGAAAATCAAACAAAGATCTTATTGAATCAGATTGAGTGATGCTAACACAACTTTTATAAAAACATTTGCACAATTAACTGATTATTAATTAAGTTGATCACATAAATATTATGTGACAAGCAACTTGTAAATATTTTATAAGCACAGTTAAAACTATGTATTTTCAGATTATTTCATTTCATCAAAGCAGGTCTATGATTGTGGAGATAAAATACTAACAAAGAATAATTTAAGAGACACTAGCACATCATCATACCGCGTAAATTCGATATAATATAGGAGAAATCAAATACTTAAATTCATTATTGCTTTACACCCCAATATGCAATAGCAATAGATATAATTTACTACTAATGGAATTTAATTAATCGTACAACCGCATTCAGTACGTGGAACAAGTCAAATGTTGACAACATGCGCAAATGGTATTTATAACCTCAATTGTGTTTAACTTCACTCTGTCTTTTCAGTTATTTGTTATTATTTTATTGCCCAAACAAAGCCATTGACAAAATTATTTCAACACCAGTTACTTTTACCAATTTGTTTGTCTGATGACATCAAATGGCATGATGCTTAAAATCAGAATACTGGGGGAAAGATGAAAAAAATAATCAAACTTAATTAATTAACAGCAGTTATATCTGCACTTAAATATCATATAAAATTATAATTTCATGACTTTCTGAACCCAAAATATTATTGCAATTCAAATGATTGTCGCAGTCTTGAATAATTCAAAATAATACTAGAATGCGTTCCAGAGACTATTTAAAATAGAAAAAATAAAATAAACAACACGTAAGTCAATACATGCCTCTGTATAAAGCAGTATCCATCAACAAACTTAATTATCAATTTTTATTTGAAAAATCAAGTACATATATTAGATTTTTATTTCTTAGATATATACACATTATCAGCCAAAAGGCACACAAATTAAAATATATCTTGCAAATAACAAATTGCTGACACTGTCACATCGAAATTTTACTTTGTTTTTCAATAACTGATGTCGCATACATTTTTTTGATGAAAAAATGGTTGATGCATCATATTATATGGTTCCTAGGTAACCAGAATAGATGCATTCCATCAGAGTGTCACGAGATATTCATATACAACGATAAATGTTAATTTTCACTTTAATGATAGCATCTAAATGAGGTAAAACTCAGGAATTGATCAGAACACACTAGAATACTCGTCCACATATGGCGACATGACACCACACACTTCTACATGAATCAGCACATAACCATATAAAAATACCCAAATCTTACCAAAATATTGTTTTAGACACTATTGCATGTGTAAAGTGGCCCTACACTTAGTTAATATCACATAAAATGCAATGTTTAAACTAAAGGTCAATTAGTCGCCATATTGTTAATCGGGCACATAGTACCATCGAAAATGCCACATAAAATCATCAGTGAGAGGTCGTCAGGGAGATTTTCAGTCTCTCAAGATCGCAACATATTTGACATTATGCCCAGAACCCCTGGTAAGTTATCAACTTGTACCATGATTCTTAAGATTTGCTCTAGAAACTTTGAAACAACCCTGCGACCATCTTTTTTTACTTGCAAGTGATTTAATGGCAGTATGTAGTGTATATGTATGCTTTGAGTGTCCACATTTTGATGATGGTCATTACAAATTAGTACTAATGACACAAAAAATGTTTTAATAAAAATAAAAATCAGAGATGAAATGTCAACAGTTACAGCTATCGCCACTTTAATATTATCAAAAAGAAACGAGGCACAGATTTTCACTAAAAATCTTGAATCTCAAATTCCATTTTTATCTCTCATTTTTCTTCTAACTCAAGACCATCACTACCATGATTAGACTTTATTTACTTCAACCTTTTTTTCTTCCTCTTTCGTTTCCTCTTTGTCAACAGCCTTGTTGTCATGGGGAACACTGGGCTTGCCCCTAAATCCATCAGAACAAACGGATCCACCAATACCAAATGGTCTGAGATGATATACCATGTATTCCAATGTGTACAACATATTGTGATTGACATTATGAAATGTTATAGCATACTCATAACAGCATTCAGGTCCCTATGGTAACAAGAAAACAAAACAAACCAAATTTCACAATAAAATATTAAGATATTTTTTTACCTAGTTATTAACATAATCTGTCAAATGACATGAAATATCAAGCAATGAGATTGTAATTAACACATCCCAAACTCAGTTGAGATGTAAGATAAACAAATACTGTAAAATGCTTTATTTTAGCTGGAATTAATTTTCGTTGAAAAGACTTTTCGAGTGTTTTGTATGCAATTTATTTTCACTGATTCTTGATGATTTTAGTGTAAAATATACGAAAAAAATGTATACTCACTGGATTTTATTTGCACTGAATTATCCCTCCAGCGAAAATAAATTCCAAGCGAAAATAATGTAATTTACCGTACCCTATTTGCACATACAATAGAGGTACCTAACACGCAAGAATGCAATTTTCACAATCCAT